CTTGTGAAGACGCAACCTCTCTAAACCCGTGTTTGTGGCGACCTCTAGTGGCAGGTCTATGGCTATTACAGTCCTTTTTGTTACAATCCGCTATACCTGTAGGTTACATTCAACCTTCCAAACATGCAGGGAATTCTTCCCTGAAGTTATATATGAAAATGTTAAATATGTAAGTTTTTACTGTAACTTCATTAGCATTATGACCGATATACTGTCAATGCTGCAACACATAGGCAAAGGCCTTGTATCACTTAAGCACTTCATTCTTTGTGTATTTTGTTCCAGCATGATTGAGACCTTCTACGGTGAATGGCTCCTCCTACAGAAATCATGGTGAAGTCTTTTAATTTCACTACCATGAGATCATTTGTATCATTTCATTTACTTTTCAGGCTTTCTATCTGGCTTCTGACCGTTAATATAACACTGAAAATTTTTCTCTTTACTTTCAGTGAGGTGACTATGAACTATCTCTGTACTGGCTTCATCACTCTGTTCTCCTCCCCACTGATAGCTGGTGTGTGGTGAGAGTACTGGTGTACTATGGCTGCCATTGCATCATCCAGGTGGGGGCTGCACACTGGTGGTGGAGGGGTCCCCATTACCCCCATATAGCGCTTTTCTGGACACTCCACTCAAAGCGCTTTACAGGTAATGGGGACTCCCCTCCACCACCACCAATGTGCAGCCCCACCTGGATGATGCAATAGCAGCCATAGTACGCCAGAACGCTCACCACACACCAGCTATCAGTGGGGAGGAGAGCAGAGTGATGAAGCCAGTTCATAGATGGGGGTTATTAGGAGGCCATGATTGGTAAGGGCCAATGGGAAATTTGGCCAGGACACCCCTACTCTTTTCCAGAAACACCCTGGGATTTTTAATGACCACAGAGAGTCAGGACCACGTTTTTACGTCTCATCCGAAGGATGGCACCTGTTTACGGTATAGTGTCCCACTCACTATACTGGGGCATTAGGACCCACATGAACCGCAGGGAGAGCGCCCCCTGCTGGCCCCACTAACACCGCTTCCAGCAGCAACCTTAGTTTTTCCCTGGAGGTCTCCCATCCAGGTACTGACCAGGCTCACACCTGCTGAGCTTCAGTGGGTTGCCAGTTGTGAGTTGCAGGGTGATATGGCTACTGGCTTGTGGGCTTGAGTACCTGGAGGAAACCGATGTGAACAAGGGTAGAACATACAAACTCCACACAGACAGCACCCTAGCACTGCGAGGCAGCAAGGCTAACGGTCCCAGCAATTACCACATCCCCTTGTTTGTTTTTTTTAAATGCCTGATTTTCTGTTTTTAAATGCATTTCCCCCTAGATCCCACTGGCGTTCTCTGGTTTGTGTCCCACTCTTGATCCTGAAGAAGTCCACTGACGTCCAGCCCTTCGCTGGCTGTGTGAATACCTTTGATGACACTGAATACTTGAATCAGGTCCCATTGTACTATTCTGCTTTAAAGAGAAAATGTTTTAGCCTGTCATGAATAGGACATTTCCTCTGCATAAGCATTATACGAACTGTTTTTTTGTAGCAAAACAAGGAAAAGAAATGTTAAAGCTGTCATACAGTACATACCATAAAACTCTTCACTATGAAGAAAGCATTCTGTAACATGTCCTTTTTTTATAACACTATTTTCTGCAGTAAATCCGATCCGTTTTCTGACAACGTTCAAGATCATAAGAACTCAGTGTGCTGGAGAAATCGTTCTCCAAACAGGAGCCCATCTCAGAAGTTAAAAGAAGTTTTTATTTCATGCGCATGGGAGCGAAACACACAGAGATGCTCGGTGTGTTCTTCTCAAAGTAATGAAACTAGAACAGTCCTTAAATATTTTTCTGTTATCTATCACTCTTCCCTGTGCTGATCAGATTGAGTGTTCCAAAATCCCGCACATCTTCCTACTTCCCTATTTGCTAAAGATGACTAATACAATTGATTACTTCGGTTTGTAGCACACATTCCCATATAACAGTATTGAATTACATAGTAGTCCTTGTGCCTGTCACGATTATAATCCCTCTTCTTGAGGGCGCTCCAGCTCTTTCGTATTTTCCCTGATTACTTTCACCTGCCCCCAGTTCTGCTCCTCCTTATTTAAGCCAGGCACTCTCGCTACTCCTGGCTCAGCATTGGGAGATGGACGCCCAGACACCCACCTACCAGCAGGTCCAGGAGTGAGCCAACGACATCGGCTTCACCACAGTGTCCTGACCATCCGAGTCCAGGGCTCGGAGTGCCTGGCCTCGTTACCCTGTTTTTATTCCCTGTCCCTGTACTGGATCCCATTCTGGTTTTTAACAATGTTTTGTCTCGTCTTGGATGGATCACCTGGTTTTGGACTCTGGACTGCGCCCCAGATTTCCCCCCTGACCTCTTTGGACTCGTTTGCCTTGGCCGCGGCCCCCCGAGCACCAGATCACCGTCGTCATGCCCCCCCGTCTTTCAACCCCTCCTGATCCTTGTCGTCTCTCCCCTGTCATCCTTCTCCACTTACTTCCACAGTATACCGTCTGCATAGGGTCCTGAACTATGCTTCGCTGGAGCCTGGACCAGCACCCATTACAGCATCCAGCATTCTTCCAACCCCTTCTAAATGTTCACCTCATGAAAAAATCGCATCTTCTGCAGGAAAAGTTCACAGTTGCCCTGTCAACAAGTTCCAAGAAAACTGGTTCATGAATGATGAATGGAATCTTTTTCTAAAGAAGAAATCAGGATCAACGCCTATATATCAAATGCTTCCTGTCCTAATCAGATTTGTGCTTTTTTCTCGCATCCAGACTAGTAAGAAGCCAAACAAATTCCTCAGAAAACAGTTTGAAAGAGAAGAGGATATTCACATGAAGTCCCAACACAGCAGCAGGGCAGAAACAGAAAGCACTTTAACCTAATATTAGCATATGATATGAACTAATGGATGGGACACTGTAATATACTAGCTATGGCATCTTTAATACACAAGGAGGAGTCCCCTACTTCATTTAGAATCCCCAATTATTTTTAATTACCCAATCTTATTTTCTCATGTCTCGGCTCGTGGCTACGTACCCCATGATCACAGGCAGGGAGGGCGAGAAAGTGGAGGCAGACCCCTACACTGCCAAGTGGGAAGAGAAGAACACCCCTTCCTGACAGCAATACTCCACCCATCGTGAGCCCACGCCTACAGAATCCCCCTCCCGGGGAGCTAGATCCAGGTTTGAACCTGCAATTCCAAAGCTCATCCGAAGATCAGACAAGCTTTTTTTTTTTGCTCAGTGTCCATTAACCTAACCTTGCAGCCGGAACCCTCTCCATACAAGTTCTGGGTTACGCTTGAAAAATGTAACTCTGCTCTCCATTACCAGGTCTTCCTGGAGCGAATATAGTTTTTGCCCATCTTTTTACCCTAGTTACCTGGGCCCCACTGATTACCAGCTAGGGTCAGAAACTTGATCCTGCGATGAAGTACCAGGAAATAGTCATGCCTATGTTACACTGTACTCGTAACATTTTGCTCTTATGCAATCTGCTGCTGAAGAGAAAAAAAAACACTTACATTTCTCTAGATCTCTTCTGGGTGCTCCAGTTTTCTCCCACTGTCCAAAAATAGACACTTGATCTTAGCCAAAAGGCCGAGAAGCGTTACTGCGCACTGGTAGGTTAAACGGCATCTGAGGAAACAGTCCCAGTGTGAGTGTGTGTCTGTATGTGTCCCGCGATGTGATGGCAGCCCTGTCCAGGGTGTTCCCTGTCTTGTGCCTGTTGCTTGCCAGAATAGACTGGCTCCCCTCTTGCATCCCTGAACTGAATGAAGCATAGAAAATGGATGGTAGGACATTCTAAATTGCCACCTCTTGCAATATAATGTTTTGCCCATGTCTGTGCAACTTCTGCCCTGCTTGAGGCCTGTGTTCTGCATCATATGCTAGTTTGTGCTTGACTTGCTTTCTAATTTAAGAAAGAAGGGCTCCCCAATAAAAAAAGAAACCAGAAACCTTTTGTCCTTCAAGAAGCAAAAAAAAAAAAAATATTTCAGACCCCCAGGAACAACAATAACACTCAGATTTAAATCTTATTACATTGAGGAATAAATAAAAATATTCCATAAAACCCTAAAACAGACCAATTTGTACAATTCTTCAGCTTTTACAAAACGTTTCAGTACTGGAAATAAAAAACCAACAATAAAAATTGAACCCTTCTCTAGGTCAACAAAACCTCACAGATACCATTAAACGTGGTAGGTGGCAGAAGATTCCTAACCAAGCAGGACACTGCACTGCTCAATGCAGTTCACTGAGAAGATGGGTCTCATTCCATGTTCTCCCTATAGCAGTAAAACAGTTTAACCTCCTTGTTCAGCAAGTTAAACAGATTCCTTGACGCGAACCCAATGTGGAGATATGTACAGTCTGCCGACCAATGCTACATTCAGCACCTTTACACATTAGCGTGAACTCAAGGAGTCGCACTTTTAAACAAACCACTGAGGCAAAAAGTCCAATTTTCCTCTTCACAGCCGCCGCTCCCATGAAGGGTGAACCGTGCAGTAAGAGTGAAGAAAGCACAGAAGCGCAAATAATTGGACTTCTTCACACACTTCCTGCATACCAGGCAAAAGAAACCTTCCCTGGAATTTTCCCAGCAGCCTCTGCTGCTCAGAAACAGACACACATCCAGAGACGTTGGGGCGGCCAGGTCACAATCCTTTGTCTTTTAGTTCATAAAACAAGAAATCAGTCAGATTGCAGTACTAAGAAGGAATCTTTGTGCCCTCCAACCTTAGCTTGCTCAAGGTGATGATCTATGGCAAAGGACTACATTTGTCACACTACACAGCTTGCCCAATGTTGTGTACTTAAATAAAATGTTATCCAATTTGGGAAATCTTAGACAGTACATGAAGCTGTTATGAGGACCACGACCAGCTCACTGAGCACCATTCTGATACATTTCTGCCTTAATTCTATTGACTTGTACCTGAATACTCAGAGGCAGAGTAATCGCTAAAAAAAATAATTATCCTTTAATTTTAGTATGCAGTTTGACAGTATGCATAAAAGAAGTATTTAACACACCAACGACTACCTGCCATCTTAGTGGCACAAAGAGGGTAGTAGTTAAAAACTGATATTTTACATGAAGATAGGCCTTTGTGAAACAGGCGATCATGATTTTGGGCGAATGTTAAGCCACACATTCATTTTTCTTCTTTCAACAAGCACAACAGCAGGGATCTAGGCTCCCACCTGTGCTTCTGGAACTTTTAACAGGAGAATTTCTCTCTGGAAAAGGGTGACGCAGCAGAGACAACGCAGAACAACAGAAGATCTCGCCACCATCATGCTTACATCCCCAAACCGAGCCAGTTTTTGGATGCGGGTCTTCCAAGCTTTAGAATCGGACAGCGTTCACACTCGTCGGGGTCCATAGGCGTTACTGGAAGCATTGGAGAAATAAAACACCCCCCTTCAGACTCTGTCCTCAGATTGAGTTCGGGTCTCCTGGAGTCTCAGAGGGTTGAACGTGCCTGATCTGATTCAGAACCCAGTTGATATCGGGTCTCTCCTGAGGATTGGGCACCATTATAGAACTGAGCAGGGACTGAAGACCTTCAGAGTACCTGTAGATAAGAAACATTCGAGAGATTGTACAGAAGAGAAGAAGGGATGCATGAATGATACATCCGCATGTTTGAAGGATGTGGTTTTAATATACCCAGCAGCGCAAATGAAGTTCCATGTGGAAAGTTCTTTTCAGCAAGTAATGTCTGTAGGAAATATAACTCCTACAAAACATCACTGTGGGAATTGAAAACTCAACACAAACCATATTAATCTATGAGAATGACCATCTTTCCTTGTGCTGAATTATGATTCCAAGATGAATATCAGTCATAAAGGATGACTGAAACTATCACATCAGCAGGGATAAAATGGCTGCTGACCTTAAAGATAAAGGTTATTCAGGAAGGTCATATATAATCTAATATATATCCTTAGCATGGCTGATTAATTCCATCAAACATTTTTGAATAGTGAAACTAGAAACCCAAATGGACATGATTCTGGTAAATTACTACAGATTCTACAAATCAATTCTGTATTGATTCTTGATGTTTTGTATGACATTGCATAAATAGAAGAGGTGCCTTTAAGAGAGAATGGCCTTCTGGGAAATGGTGTGCTATATATATAGGTGCTGGGAATAGTCACTTCTGTGCAAGCCTACTGCAAAGCCATAATTTACATTGTTAGCCACCAAAACTAGAAAAAAATGGTCTAAAACACAGCTCTTCTTGCAACTGGAAAAAAAATATAAGGAAATGACTTAAATTCTAAGAGGTAAACTTACAGTTACAGTATCCAGTTACAATTACAGTATGCTTGTTTCACTGAATTAAAATACCACTGATCATAAATACTAACATGATCAAGGCTGCTACACAGGATGTCCAGTCATACCTTAGTATATATAGCCAGCAGCCATATCACCCTTGGACTCGCATCTGGCAGCCTACTGAAGCTTAGCAGGTGTGAGCCTGGTCAGTACCTGGATGGGAGACCTCCTGGGAAAGCTAAGGTTGCTGCTGGAAGTGGTGTTAGTGGGGCCAGTAGGAGGTGCTCACTAGCAGGTGTGTGACCCCTACAATTACTCCAGGGCCCAGCTCTTGAAGGGGCCCTGAATGTACGAGCAAATTGAAGGGCTGGGAGACCACAGGGGCCATGAAGATGCCAGGCTGATAGTCGGATGGTTGTTTTTTTTAACAAAAATTTTGCGTGCCTAAGCTCCATCACATTTCTCGCCTGTTTCCTATTAGCGTCTTAAAATGCACTTAATCCAGCCTTACCACCTACCTAGGGGCAAGGAACGGAAAAAAAAAAAGAAATGATCCCTTTTAGATAGTTTCCATCCTCTGGGTGCTCCGGTTTCCTCTCACAGTCCAAAAACATACTGGCATACTAGTAGGTTAATTCTTTGTCTGGGTAACACTGGCCCTCAGGTGTGAGTGTATTTGCTTGCCAAGACAGGCTCCAGCTCCTCTGCGACCCCAAACTATCGGAAACGGTTCGGAAACCGATGGCTAACTTTCATATTTTATAGCCGACACTTTTTAAGTATCGAACAGCTGCAATACCAGGGCACCCAGGATGGAGAGGGCATTTGCTGATTGCTCCACAGGACTCACCTGCAAGGCTGGGGCACAGTGACGGGGTTCTGCACTGCCAGAGCCACGCTGTCGCCCTTCTGGAAGATCATGTCGAAGGGGCCTTCCAGCATCATCATACCATACAGCACGCAGCCCAGGGACTGTGGGGGGGGGGGGGAAGACGAAGATGGGGTGAGGCCCCAAGGCGTTACCAAAAGGCACGGGCAGCAAGACGGGCTGAAAAACCAGCAGACCTACCCAGATGTCCGTGCGCTCGTCTATGATGCAGTGGCTCTCCACGTTGAAGAGCTCGGGAGCCCTGTAGGAGATGGTGCACCTCTGAGCCGCCCAGTCCTTCAACACAAAGACGCAAGGCCACAGCCAGGGTCGGTCACAGCGTGACAGCCGAACGCAGCAGTCCAATACAATAGTAGTACCAATAGCAGCTGCCAGCAGTAATATCACTCTGCAGCTCACACCAGGCAGCCCACTGAAGCTCAGCAGGTGTGAGCCTGGTCAGTACCTGGATGGGAGACCTCCTGGGAACAACTAAGGTTGCTGCTGGAAGAGGTGTTAGTGGGGCCAGCAGGGGGCGCTCACCCCGTGGTCCATGTGGGTCCTAATGCCCCAGTATAGTGACGGGGACTCTATACTGTAACATAGGCGCCGTCCTTTGGATGAGACGTAAAACCGAGGTCCTGACTCTCTGTGATCATTAAAAATCCCAGGGCGTTTCTCGAAAAGAGTAGGGGTGTAACCCCGGTGTTCTGGCCAAATTTCCCATTGGCCCTTACCAATCATGGCCTCCTAATCCCCGTCTATGAATTGGCTTCATCACTCTGCTCTCCTCCCCAATGATAGCTGATGTGTGGTGAGCGTTCTGGCGCATTATGGCTGCCGTCACATCATCCAGGTGGATGCTGCACATTGGTGGTGGTGGAGGGGAGTCCCCATTACCTGTAAAGTGCTTTGAGTGGAGTGTCCAGAAAAGCACTATATAAGTGTAATCAATTATTGTTAAATTTATTAAATTATTATTATTAATATGAGTGCAAGGACGTGGATGGAACGCAGTATTAAGGGTCCAAAAAAAAACCAAAAGGAGGCCCCTGGCCAACCCACACAAAAGGCACCTTTATCTGCAATCACTAGACCAGGGCCAGCCTATGCAACCAAATACACTTGTACACACTTGTAGTCTTTCTATTTAGGTGATTGACCATTGTAATCATTCAGAAAGCGGAGTAAAAAGATATTCAGCCTGTAGTATGTCATTCATCGAGCTCTGAGGAGAGAAAATGGGTACAATGGGTGCAGATTTCATTTCACAAGGGCAGGGGGAACTTGGGATAAGACATTAAATCAAGGTCCTAGCTACGTCCTCATTAAAGGTCTCACAGCACTGTTTGTAAAGGTAGGGGTGTTAATTCTACTGTGCCTCTGCACATTCCAGCTGACCCGTTAATTCAATTGGTGAAACCATTTCACACTACTGATCTGCTGGGGAATAATGTCTGCCAGGTGCCAACTGGTTGGGTGATGAAGAGAGCCTCATCCTGTGTGTAAAATGCTTTGAGGTTTTTGTAAAGAAATGTGCTATTCAAAATACAAAGGGATTATTATTGCAAATATGGAACAAGGGGAAAAGACATATTTACAAAGCAGAATACTGCTTGTACCAAAACACACATAGCAATGACTCCTGTGGGTGACAGCCTTAGCTACAAAACACAGGCACTGCCCCCCAAAGCTTTTCAAAACAGTTATTCTGCTCAAAACCACAACTGAATGTCGATTCTTCTCGCCAGAGCTGAAAACTTTTAAAAGGTGCAAGCTGAACAAAAGGCAGATGTGAACAAGCGCACAGATTTCACTTCTGATTCTCATCTAGCCTGAAATAATTTTGTGCCTGGACCTCTAAAGACAGACACAGGGAGACAAGTGCATGGTTTTGTTGTAGTAAGTCAAATCATGCATTGTGTAGTTAACTGTTTTTGGTGATAACTGCACACTGCCACAGGGGAAACCTCTTCCACTTAGTTATTTGTCATTTCCATTTCTGGAGCTCCCAAATGAAAATGAATTTTGTTCATTAAATAAGGAATCTCACTTCAAGATGACAGCACCTACTTCAGTTTCAAAGAAAACAACTGTCCGGATTTGAACTCCTGCAAAAGGCAGAACTACCATGATGAATTGGTGCTGCATGCTACACTGTGTGTGAGGAGCGTTCTGGCGCACTACGGCTGCCGTCGCATCATCCAGGTGGGGCTGCACATTGGTGGTGGTGGAGGGAAGTCCCCATTACCTGTAAAGTGCTTTGAGTGGAGTGTCCAGAAAAGCCCTAAGTGTAAGCAATTATTATAATTATAACAGTGAGACGAACAGCAACAAGGAACTCAGGGGTTTCTCTTCTTGCTCATTTTATTGCCTGTCGTTGTCTTCTTGATTAATTACCCTTTACAGTTACTCCACAAAACGACTGCAATTCTTCCATTTTACCTTATCATAAATTCCAAAGTGTTTTTTTAAACCTAAAAAAACAGTATTTTGTCTTCCACCAGGAATATTTTGCCATCGTAAAAAAAAAGATCTTTCAGTCTCGATTTAAGTTACAAAATGCTACACCCCACTCAGAGTAAGGTCACAATTGAACAGGAAGAACTAATTTAATATTGTAATGTCTAATATACTTAATTACTAATTTAATAAATGCATCTGCTAAACCATTGTAACATCAGAAATTTGTTTTATATTATTAAAATTATAGTATTTTTCATTTTGTTAACTGTTACTTGATTTAGAGAATTAAACATTAATAATGTATTTGCACTTAGAGGAACACAGTAGCATTGTATAAGAAGTAATTATCACGGGAAGGAAGAATGGACATCTCCTCTATGAAATAGGAGTTCTAGGTTCTAGCGTTACTTAGCTGAAAATGTATGGAATACTTAGTGGGATATGGTCACCTACATGTGCAGCTCTGTCACTCCCTAAACTGCTTTAGGGTCTGTTAAAGAAGTTGTGTAAAAATATCAGTATTGCTCTATTCCTAACAAGTCTGTGAAGAGAAGGACGGACCAGCTTTAAAGAACAGGACAAAACAACATAGTATGAAAAAAATCAACCTGTTATGTACTGCATGAGACTAAATTGTATAAGATTTAGAAGATTTAGCAGTTTGTCTGTTCTATGGGACCCACCCAGAGCTGCCTAGCTCTGTGTATTGAGCTCAACAAAAGCTGAATCTGTACCAGGCTGTCTCCTGCTCCTCTGCTGAAGATTCCCCCCGCAGTATGCTTTGACTCAGGAGGAGTCTTGAACATCCTTGGCCTTTTACCTGCACTGTCATGGCCTCTCGAGAACCCTTGACCTCAATCCGTGCTCGGTTCATGGAGCCCAGGTCCATCAGGACTGGCCTGTCATCGTCCTCCAGGAGCACGTTCGTGGGTTTCAGATCTCTGTGGGCAGACAGCGAAGCACGAGCGCGACATTGTAGTACAGACGAATGGCGTACAATCCCAGGATAAAGCTGAAACAAACAATGGAGACTGCGAGGTCAAGACCACAGAACGAATGTTATTCAGACTCTTCTTTCTGACCGTTACCTCTTCACTAATGAGTGACTTTAAATTTTGGGGGGAGACACTTATATTCGACCGATTATGGTTCCTGTCATGTTGATTCTATTTGATAGCATTTTTGGGGAACAAAAACAGGAATCCCTCTCATCACAAGCAACCACTATATGAGTTTTTGTACACTTTCTTACCCAATTTTTCAAGCTGATTCGAGTGGGGCTCTTGTAAAGCACTGCTGAGACTCTTCTTTTCTCACATCTTCTCCGATCAGGAATTTACTTTTTATTTGTCTTACATTTGAACTTTTTGTATAAGTCAGGCTTGTGTATATGGTACAGCCTTGTAACCACGTAACTACTGTAGTGTGCTGTAAAAGAGGAATTTACTGGAAGTATGCGTTATCGTTTTCCTTCCTACAGCTTAGCTTATCAGCTAACGACTTTAAGCATGTTACTCGATAATTAACCAGGATTCTTGTTATTGTGTTTATATAATAATTTGAGTTCTAGAACCAATCAGAAACTATAACACAGGAAGAAATGGGACATTTTTGTTATAGGAATTTTCACCTTATGAGGAGTTTTCAAGGAACAAGTTACGGTTGTATGGGAATTACAGTAATGGGATTCCTTCCATAGCAACTAAACAAAGATAAAGGGGGTTGTTTTAACTTTGCCCATATTCTCATTTAGATGTTCAGGATTCACATTTCAGGAAGGAGTGAACAGTGGTGTCTGAACATATAATATGTCCCCCTTAAGACAGTGGTTCTGAACCTTAACTGTAACCTTGACTGTTCTCACACTCCTTATAACAAACACTGAAATAAACCCAAGATATGCCATTATTATAGAATGAAGGAGACAGAATTATATATTTACACTTTGCAGTAAAATTAAGAATACATGAAACATTGCACACCTTTTGTTAACCTTAAAATAACAAAATACAATAATGCAGTTATGTGCCTGTTCTTCGTTTGTGTATGCGATGATTGTACCTTGTAAAAGAAAATTGGCATGTCTTGCACCCCCAGAAAAGGGCATCTCGCACCCCAGGTAAAGAACCACTGCCTCATCTCTGAACTGGCTTCATTACTCTGCTCTCCTCCCCACTGAT